CAACAATGGTGGAATTGGTGATCCTCTTACCATCTTGGCTTCTGAGAGACACTGACACTCTGAGAAGCTCTTTTAATACCCAATCATGTTGTCAATTGACCTAATTAGTGTTAATTGGTCTTACAGCTGTTCGTTATATGCTCAATTTCCTTTTTCCAGCCACTACTTGTCTACTACTACTACTAGATACTTGTCCCAACTTTTTTGGGATTTGTTGACACTGTGAAATTTTGAATCAACATATTTTTCCTTTAAAATGTTACATTTACTCAGAGTAAACTTTTGATCTGTCATCTATGTTATATTACGAATAAAATATTGACATCTGCCATCTCCACATCATTGCATTCAGTTTTTATTCACAATTTGTTTAGTGTCTCAACTTTTTTGGAATCCGGTTTGTATATTAGGCACATTCAAAGCACTAAATGGGAGTTTCCAGCTGTATTTACAAAAGTAAGACTAAACCTGATGGCCTTTGTTTGGGCTTTAAACTGCATATAGTGACTACAATTGTTGTCCAAAGTTATAAGTCTCTGGTGGTCTTGTTATATTTGTTGTTTTGCATCACCAAGACTCTAAAATGTGATATCTATCATCATTGTCTTCAGTGATACAAACCCTTATTTTAGGGAGGGCCTACACAAAAATATTTATTCACATTTCTTTTAAACCTTTGGACACTGTATGTATATGTATGCATCTGTCCAAACAGGTCTCACTTGAAAATGAGTCTTCGAGGCTCAATGTGACTTATCCGTTTAAATAAAGGTTGAATGAATCTATAACAACTTTTTAATGAAACCAGGATGATGAGTTACAACAACATTTAATTTCCCTTTGGGATTAATCAAATATTTTTGAATTGAATTGAATTGAATTGAATGTGCATACACTCACACACAACAATTCATATGCTGCATCTAGAAAGAAGTGACTTTCTATTTTTTTGTTTGTTTTTTGAGAAAGTGCTGCACATAAACAAAAAAGTGCAAAGGCTGAGTGTTATTACCTTGTCACATCTCATGAGGCCCAGATACCGAAGGGATTTGCTGCTTTGAGCAATTTGTGTGGCTCCTTGGTCTGTAATGTCTTTACACCAGCCGGCGTCCACAGTCTCTATGGTGCTGCTATACTGGCCAATGGCTATCAAAGCTGTAAGCAGAGAGGGGAAAGAAAGAGGGAGGTGGGGAATGAAGGGGAGACAGAAAACAGATAAGGTGTTAGTCTGAAAAACCTTTCTCATGCAAATGTGGCAGCATCATTCTTCCTCAGGAGATGCTCATAAATTTGAGATGAAACCAGGGGAACTCATCTGGCTAGCTGTGACACAATTTTGATGTTTACACAACACCTTAAAAAGTCTATGTGTGCACACGAGCACATACACACACACCTACACAACTGAAATCATGCATACGTCCATACTTGTTCAGATGGATGTCACTGCACTGGAAGGCAATGGCAATGACAGTACAAGGGAAATATGCTGTTTGTTGTTTCTCTCTCTCTCTCTCTCTCTCTCTCTCTCTCTCTCTCTCTCTCTCTTTCTGTGTATGTGTGTGTGTGTTTTATTATTTTGTTAGGACCATTTTTCTAATACACAACTTGTGAGGACCCACTGCTACTTAGGGGAACCAAAGCCTGGTCCTTGTATGTTCCTTGTATGTTCAATTGCCGTTTTTGGTATGGGGTTACGTTTAGGACAAAGGTGTGAATTAAGTGTGGGTTAGGGTTAGGGAGATGAATGCCCTTATGTACTCGGGACACAATGGTAATGTGTTCCAATTAGGGTTAGGTATGTACTGGTAATGGTTAGATTTAGGGTAAGGGTCAAAGTTGGGCTAATGAAATGAATGGAAAATGAATGGAAGTCAATGCAAAGTCTGTGTAAAGATGGAAAAATACACCTGTGTGTGTGTGTGCGTGTGTGTGTGTGTGTCCATGTTTGCTGCTGCCAGGGCAGAAACAGTCAAGACAGAAGATGATCTGCACACATACACACAAACAAATGTCTTTCAATGTCCTTTGTATTTGTTGAACCCCTGAACATGGGTGCATACACAACCTGTCATACTTCAGCTATGAGGTTATACTGTCTTAATCAAATGACAAATTAGAGATGAAAACTGCAGGAAGATAAGGTCTTCAGTAGTTTGGTTCAGAGTTCTTGCATTTACAAATGCAAGCAGACACACAACAATCTTCATCATCAATCTTTGGACCTATCAATTGTTGTGTAGATGGCCAAGACCTGTGTTCCATCAGTCGATTGATGGCGCAGCTTGGTGATCGATTGGCAGGCCTGGTCTTTGTTCTCCATTCTCACAACCGGCGCTAATGAGAATGTGAAGGAAGAAGGAAGGAAGGATGAGGGGTTGGGAGAAAGATGAAAGGAGGAAGGTAAAGCTCGAGAAAGCCTTTGACAGCACCATCAAATAGATACTTAGTCCTGATGTTGTTTCTCGTTTGCGGAAATCCATTTTATTTCAAACTTCTTTTAAAAAGACAAGCTTGAGACACCTTCTGCTTCAATAAGGAGGGAAAATGTCCTCTTCACGTTCTCACTCTAATGACAAGCACTTCTCATGGTGCAGTATTAAATAGCATGCAAGTCAGCACGTCAACAATTTTACTGTTCATCGACTATGACTAGCAGTCCAAGACTGTGTGTGCACGTACGAGTCAATGTTTGCAGTGTGAGAGCTTGTGCCCACAGGAGAAGGGAAATGGATAATCCTATACTCTTTTCTTTGTGTATTTAAACCTTTTTCCCTGTTGTGTAATGCAGATGACTCTAGACAAACACACAGAGACTCTGAACTTGCGTACAGTATGTAACATGTGTAATCTATAACTGGCTGCCTGAAGAGCACCACATGTGGTTCCTTTTGCGTTTCATCATGCCATGCATAATGGTACATTATTGCTAAACAGGCAGTAACACAGCTTTGAAGCTCCAGTATGTTTCATGTAAAACAGCGGCTCGAGGAAGAGGCTCTAGCAGGCCAGACAGATTAAAAGAACATGAGGTAGTGATGTTGGATTTTCTGACAAATGGTGAAATTGTAAACTATGCCAAAACTTGAGACACTTATTTGTCTCTGTGCTTAAGCATATGTAAAATTGGAAAGATGTCAAGTGAAGGAAAATGCTTTGTATCCTGTTCCCTTTATCATTTTCAATCAGATGATCCAGAATTTGATTACCTGGGTTGAGGCCTTTTCATCTAAAGTAACGACACACACACATATCACTGCTGTTCAAAAGACTATCACAGAAAGACTAAGGAGGCTTCTAAGGAAACGGGAGATCAAATAAAAATGAGCTTCACAGTTAAACAAATCAAACAAAGCTCTTTTTCACTTTTCCTTTGCCAAACCTACATTCCTGCTTCTTTCCCTTCAAGTTTTTTTCCTTCAACACGACAAAGTGGCAATTCAAAAGCAGGCATGTATATCAGAGCAAATGTAAAGAAAGAAGTAATAAGTGAATACATGACTTTTGCACTTATTGATGAATGCGCTGCACTCATGCACTTCACCTGCCTAAATAAAAATAAAAAAATAACTAAATTATATGGCAACAAGCTCCTCGGTTTATACAAAATGTTAGTTTAAGACTGTTGAAAATAGAAATAAGTGTACATTGTAAATATACTTAAAATGAAACTGTGTGAAATGTAATATGTTGTAGATTTTACTTGTGATAATTTGTTGCAACTGAGACACAGATAAAACAATAAACAGAACAAGTTGGGAAGAAAAAGGGGATAAGAGTGAGAAAGTGAAAAGATGGTAAAATCCCATTCTGCCAGCATGAGCTGCGACCAAGTGGTGACTCCTCAGTTACAGATGGCAATGAAGATACACTCTGCTGCCCTGCCTGAAAATGGCTTTAGGAACTGGCTGAATGTGTGTGTCTGAGTGTGTGCGTGCATGTGCACGTAATGACTAACACATCCATTTATCGGGGAGAGAAAAAAAAGAGCAAAAGTTCCCTAAATTAGTGGATATCATTTGTTTAAATTACCGTATATTTAAACTGTCTTTTACCACACAAAAAAAGGCTAGATAACATTTAAAATTATTTATTTCTGTTTTCTTTTAAATTTCTCAGAGGTTTGGGCAAATGTACCCTTTCCAAAGAAATTAATATCATGGAAAAGTTGTTTAACTTCCATAATTCCATACAAAAGTTAATATTTAATAGATGATAGTTTCAGGGCCCACAATTTAAACAATTTCAAGTATTTGTTTATTTTTACATAATTTGGGCTTCCAGCTCATGAAACCCACGAAAACATGATTTCAAAAAATTAGAATTCTGTGAAGACATCAGCCCACATTACTCAGTTTTTGCAGGAAAAAAAGAAAGAAATTAGGATCCCAACAAATCAATCAAAATATGGTACTTTCAAAACGATATGTCAATCTTCAATACTTGGTTGGGAATCCTTTTGCCTTAATCATTGCCTCGATGTGATGTGGCATTGAGGCAATCAGCCTGTGGCACTGACTGGGAGTTATGGAAGCCCAGATTTCTTTGATGCTTGCTGTCAGCTCTTCCTTGTTGTTGGGTCTGGTGCCCCTCATTTTCCTCTTGAGAATACATAGTTTAGGTCCGGCCAGTTGGCTGGCCAGTCAAGCACTGTGGCGTGGGCATCAAAACAGGTTTTGGTGCTTCTGGCGGCATGGGCAGGGGCCAGATCCTGCTGGAAGATGAAATCTGCATCTCCATACAGATCCTCAGCAGAAGGAATCACAAAGTCCTCTAAAACATTCTGGTAGACTGTTGCAGTGACCTTGGATTTAAGAAAGCAGAGTTTACCAACACCTGCACCAGACATTGCACCCCAAATCATGACTGACTGTGGATATTTCACAATGGACCTCAAGAAGTATGGGCTCTGTTCCTCATCCTTCTTCCTCCAAACCCTTGGACCTTGATTTCAGAATTAAAGGCACACTTTACTTTTATTGGAAAATAGGACTGATAAACCTAACAGTTGTAGCCCATCTCCCGGATGCGTCTGAATGTGGTGGTTTTTGAAGCTGTGACTCCTACCTCATTCCACTCTTTCTAGATCTCTGCCAGATTCTGGGACCTTCTCTGTTTGATAATCTGCTGAAGCCCACAGTCATCTATTTTGCTGGTGCGTTTTCTCCTGCCATATTTTGCCCTTCTACTAGACTTTCAATTGATATGCTTGGACACAGCATTCTGTGAACAGCGAGCCTCCTTAGCTATGAACTTTTGTGGCTTCCCCGTCCTGTGGAGGGTATCAATGATGGTCTTCTGGCCAGTTATGTCTGCAGTCTTCTGTATATTGAACCGAACTGAGACAATTGAACCAAACTAAAACAATTTAATGAAACCTGGAGAAACCTGTGCATGTGCTTTGAGTTAGTAGATGATTAGTGTGTCTGTAACAAAAGTCATCCAGAGGTGAAGAACAGAGTGCAACTATAAATGTATAGAGTTTTGTTATCTCCAACTTAATCTCCACATAATTTCTTTATTTATTTACTTTCTTCTATCAGTTAGTAGCAGTTATCATAAAAAATAGCAAATTTATCTAAACTAAAGGGTTGTTTTAGGCTAATGTACCTGCACGCCTGACAGTGAGGTCAGAAAATGTTCAATCCTGCGATGTTTGTTACTTGAGAAGCCTCCCTTACTTTGCTTATTTCCCTCTTCTTTGAAGACGGCGTCAGAGTTTCAGATGTTAGATGTTTTTAACAGCCTTATTTAATATTCACTTACCAGTATTAGATATTCACATTCTTCTAAATGATTGTGTGCCAAGATTGCTACTTTGGCAATGGAATATGAAATATTCTTGTAGATCATGCATTAGGCATTGATGAAGACAGAGCACATTTGAAAGATGTTCACGTGAATGGTAATCAGCTGCTCCAATATGTGCAGGTGTGGAGTGTATGTACTTAAACATAGCTGTATAGAAAACAGGAAAGTGCTAATTAGGGTTTATGTTCTCCAGAAAGCCCAACTGTCAACCTTAATGCAAAATTCATTGACTGTGGTTTTTGCTTGCTCTTAAAATTGTTTTCATCTTTGACTGACAAATACTTTTATGATACATTACTTTAGGCATTGATGCATATTTTTATATAGTTTTATTATTAAATTAA